AGAAAAAACTCGTGCCAGGGCTATGACGAAAAATAAGTGGCCTAAATCCGATGAGAAAACAGGATTTGGGGGTACCCTAGGTTTGGCTCCGTGACCTGGTATGCCCCCCCCCGCGCTGAAACCCTGGATCCGCCAGTGCAACTCGCCACTTCGCAACGCCCTCATTACCAGAGGAACTTTCACAGGCAGATGAAACTTACAGGAGGTAGTATCCTCCAGGGGTCTTACAACCTTTTTCACGTTTTTTATTTGCATACACATACATAACAACCATGCATGCACCTCACACCTTTCCACATACACGCAAACAGTACCTACATTCCAAACCATGCCCGCCCTGTCCGCCCTGCTATTAGTCAAACAACTTGTTTATCTCGAATTTTGTCCTAAAGGTCAGGACGTCAGGTCAGTCACGGACTCTCGTGACTTCACCATTATAAGTCAATGGGGAAATATGGAAACTGTTATTTTGGCACTAGGAATGCCGGTTGATGCTGTGTCTTTCCCTTAATTGCCTTTGTCACACACCTTAGGTAAAAATAATTTGTCCTAGGGTCTATGGATGTGTATTGACTATTGAGTTTACCAATATGCACTATTCTTTTATATGTTGCTTTGTGCTACTTAATAATTTTTTCTTTTTTTCAGGATGGAACAACCTAGGCAGTTCTTTGAAATAAGCTTTTCAAGGGGACAGGCCAGGGTTGCCATGGGACGAACAAGGTGAGTTTAAAAATAAAGTTAGTGTGTGAAATATGGTAAAGAAACACCTCACTTTGGAGAGAGGTCATAATTTGCTATTTCGCGGTCTAGAAAAATGAATGTTTTTATATTGTCATCTATAATTTAACATGTTGGTGATATTTACTTAGTAAATTGTTATTTCCCAAATGTTTATTTTTCAATCACAGCCATCAACCATACAGTAATGTTATTATTTTGTTACAAAAATGTTATACTCATTAACCCGCGCCCCGGTGTGTGTGTGGGGGGGGGGCAGAAACTGCCCCCTCCCGTTTTTCGCTAACAGCTTCTAACGCATTAGGCCATCGACGTTAAACTTTCTCTACCTTATCATACATCAATTTGACACGCTCCCTGAAAATGTGAGTGAAATTTGTCTGATTTTTTTTAATGACGTTTTAATGATGTCATGTCACACGACCACCTTTTACTCTCGCCCAACCGATGGTTGTCGATGGTATCTACGATCATTTGTTCCGTTCCGAAGTTAGACGGGGGGGGGGGAGGGGCTGATGGAGGCGCCTCTATTCTTCTGGGGGGCGCTGATCTTCTGCCAGGGGCACTCCTTTTCTTCTGATGGGGCTCCTCTTATTTGCCGGGGGCGCCGATCTGTTACCGGAGCGCCCATTTGTTGCTGGGGCGCCCCTCTTTTGCTGGGAATTGTGCGTACTTATTCTTTCACTAGGGCGCCGCCTTTCTGCTGGGGTTGCCTTCACGCTGCCTGGGGTGCCCCTCTCATGCAGAATATACCCATTTTCCTTTTGTGATAAGGTGCTCCTCTTCTACTGGGGGCACCCAACGGTTGATGGGGCGCCCATTTGTTGCTGGGTCGACTCTCTTTTGCGCTGGGGCCCCTTCCTCTGCCGGAGACGCCCTTTTTTCTGTCAGGGGCATTCCTTTTATTTTCATGGGGCTCATCTTGTTTGTTGGGGGGAGGGGCGCCAATCTGCTGCCAGGGCGCCCCTCTTCTGCTTGCGATGGTGCGCCCCTCTCCTTTCACTGGGGGGTCGCTCCACTTTAGGGGAACACCTCTCCTGCTGGAGCTGTTTCAGGACGCGCTCTAAAAGACATGGCATCTTTTCAGTAGGACCACCGCAAGCTGAAATAACAGGTCTGAGTGGGACCTTATGATCCTTCGGAACACCGTAGAAAACCGTTGTCCTGCTGTGATTCGGGATCAACTCCTTAATCGTGCCATCTGGAAACTTATATCTCTAGGAACATTCTTGAATATCCTTTTACATTCTGCCTCGACTTTAGGTACTGGATTCTTGTCAATAGCTTCATAGTTGCTCCGATCGTCTAAAATAGCATGAGATTTGTTGACATACTCCGTCCTATCCATGATAATAAGACCTTTGCACTTGTCACTCTGTTTTATAGCTACGTTGTCGTTTTTCTGTAGCTCGTCCAAAAACTGCATTTCACTCTCAGTTACGTTACTCTTAGACCCATTATGCTTTTTGTAACACTTCACTGAATCATTTTTTTAGCTTTTTTAGCTTACATTCAACTTCCATAGCTGAAGGTGGAGGGAACCTTTTGTCCGTGTCAGGGAATCTGAAAGACAGACCTGCCTTTAACCTTGGCATACCATTTGCCGTCATTCCTGGAGGCTGGTCAGCAGTGCAGGGTGCGCAAAAAGTTCTGGCCCATTTCTGTACTTCGATAAACGAATGCAATCGGAGTGAATATTATCAATGCTAACACCAAATATTGGATTGCATTACCAAACCAGATACGTTCACTCACCTCATGCGCGATATAACCCTCTTATCGGCAATGACCTTCTCCACAAGTAGGCGGAAAGACTTGCATGTCTTGATTATGTAGGTGGGGTCCTTCGTCTCCCACATCTTCACGATGTGTGCCTTCAGGGCCTCCAAATTGGGATGGGACTTTCCCTGGACCTCATCCTGCAAAACGCTTTAGATGCTTTAGTCAAGGGGTTCAGGTCGGGTGACTGAGGGGGCAATATGTCATTAAGACAACAATGGGCTTCTCCCCCGAGCTCCTCTGTTTGCTTGTGCTGGATGGAACTTGCGTTGTTTGCGGGTGTAGTATCCTGCTGGAAAACGAAATCGATTTTTCGATACGTCTTCAGGATCCATGGGATGACGTCACTGTCAAGCAGACGCTCATACATCGTCCCATTTATCTTCTAATTGGCGTTAATGAAGACGGTTGGGCACTTTTTGCCGCCCGAGCCGTGGGGCTGTCCTGGATGGCCTGAGACACGGCAGTCACATTCTCAGAGTTTTGACTGGACGTGACGGGTCTGACCTGGGGGCATATTCCAGGATCTCCCCTATTGGTATTTGGCTTTGATACGCGTAATTTTTCGCAGGGGGCTCCAAATTTCATCGCAACCTGCTCAACAGTCATGCCCGATTCGGCCTCGCCGCGCGCGGGTATCCAACGACAATGTAACGTTTAGCCTGCCTCCATGACTGGCCGTTAATGGTCTGCTTTGTTCGACATCTGGCTCTGTAGCAGGATCATTGAAGATATTGCGTGCGGCTATTGGCTTCCCGAAAAGCAACCGCAGTTCGCGTAGTAGCGCTTACTGTAAGAGGGCCAGAACTTTTTGCGCACCCTCAAGTCAGCAGACTGACCGGTCGCTGGAGGTCGGTCAGCAGACTGACCGATCGTAGGAGGCCGTTCGGCAGGCTGACCGGTCGCTGGAGGTCCGTTCGAGGCTGGTCGGTGCGTCGTTGTGTCGTTTCGCATTATTGAATTCGTCCGTTGAATCTCATCTTGCTAGCGTTTGGCGTACGCTAAACGGTCGACCCCCTTTTCCACCTCCAATAGAATATTGCTGGATATCTGTTGTGTGATTGCGAAGTTAGGTCCCTTGGAGAGGAGCGCCAGTTCTTGTGCTTGCAAGTTTGCTGGCAGTTAAAAAACTTCGTTGTCAGTTGTTTCATGTGGCTTGAGAATGAACTGTTGTTCGAAAATTTGCCAAACAATATAATATTTTTGCTTTTTATTGCATTTTTAATTAATTATAGAGGGGAAAAAATCATTTCAAATTATAAATACATATATCAAGATGTTCCTCGCTAGAGTACTGCGTACTATTTTTATGAATCGTCTCAAGGATCTCTATTTTTGCAGTATTCAAGTGGAATTGGCATGATGTACAATGTTGGTTTTGTTCGTTTCAGAATTCCAGTATGGATTCCTCTAGCAAAGATAAGCAAAGAGACCATGCGGTGTGATTTTAAGGTGTGATTTTAAGGTGTGGTGGCTGGGTCCTTGAGCCTGTGTGCTTGATCTTCTGTGTGGTCATGGCGTCTTCCATCGCCAGAGAAGTTGCTTGGGGCAAATGCATTATTTTGTTGTGGTGCTGATTGATATCCTACAGTCGCACTATGCTTGATGATGATGCTTGATGAACTTGGCTAAAACCATTTACAGTGTGTTCATTCTCATTTCCAGTGAGAATTGATCCTTCTTCCCAGCTTCTGAAGGTGAGTTTCTTTCTCCCATCCTTCGCAGCGTTAGCGTACCAGTTAATGCTATTGACTGTGCTGGGAAGTCGTCGCCCTTCCTACCCAATATCCACCCTGCATCTGTTCACTGATTTTGTGTTTAAAACTGTTTGATCCGGACAATTAATATCTGATGTATAATATGTATACTTTTACAGGATTCTTGAAATTTCTGTCCATAAATCACAACTAGGTACCAAGAACTCAACCAACAAAGGCCGGCAATGAGGGATTGTTAATATGATATAGGCTATGATATATACAGCAATCCATTTGGCTTCATTTTCCTTCACCATAGCGAAATGTATATATCTTTTCATGTAGAGTGTGCGTACACTACATTTGCGTTTTCCATGGTAATTACGTAACTTCTTTTGGGTCAGAAGTAGAACACCTGTCCAAATAAAGAATGAATATATTAACTTATCGCCTTTGGTGCCATAGTTGCCCTAACTTTTTTGGTGCCCTAGTTGTATACACATTTACTAACTTAAGCAACGGGAATTTGGCAACGCCGCGTGATTTGTAAAGAGCCACAATCGTTTTCGATAATTTCCCTCACGATTTCTTTTCATTTGTTTACTTATTCATAGTGGAATCAATGGCTTCTCCATGCTCAATCAGTTATGTGCGGGATAGGTGTTATTCATAGTGCATACATACGCCGCACGGAATAACGAATTTACTACTGTCTGAATGCCGGTAAATCAACAGCGGTCGAAAAAATGCGTGCATTATATTATGTGAACATATTCACAGGACATGAAGAAGGTACTTCTGGCAGCCGCGAACAACAGCTCAGTTGACTCGGCAACGAAGCAGCAGTGGCGGGGGCCCCCGTCGTCGGGGTATCCGGAAGGTAATTTATAACCTCTTTTGATGTTTTTGCTGATGATTTTATTGCTCGTTATGAAGCTGTGAGAATACATACCGAGCTCGAAAACGTCATCTATTGTGTTCTCACATTGACACTTATTTCCAGCTTCTGCCTCCGAGGGCGCCAACTTGAGTGGCCAGCGAGCGATGGAGCCGGGGCGAGGACCTCCGCCGTCGGCCCTTGCTGGGTATCCGGAAGGTAATTTATTAGCTCGTTTGATGTTTTGTTGCTGATTTTGGTTATGTAGCTGTGATAATACCTATCGAGTTCGAAAACGTCAGCTGTTATGTTCTAACGTTGACACTTATTTCCAGCTTCTGCCTCCGAGGGCGCCAACTTGAGTGGCCAGCAAGCGATGGAGCCGGGGCGAGGACCTCCGCCGTCTAACCCACCGGAAGGTATTTTATTAGCTCATTTGATTTTTTGTTGCTGATTTTGTTGCTCCTTATGTAGCTGTGAGAATACATACCGAGTTCGAAAACGTCATCTGTTGTGTTTTAACGTTGACACTTATTTCCAGCTTCTGCCTCCGAGGGCGCCAACTTGAGTGGCCAGCAAGCGATGGAGCCGGGGCGAGGACCTCCGCCGTCAGCCCTTGCTGGGTATCCGGAAGGTAATTTATTAGCTCGTTTGATGTTTTTGTTGCTGATTTTGTTGTCCTTATGTAGCTGTGATAATACATACCGATTGTGATCTTTTGAGTTCTAACATTGGTACTCTTATTTTCAGCTCCTGGCGTTGAGGGCGCCAACTTGAGTGGCCAGCAAGCGATGGAGCCGTGGCGAGGACCTCCGCCGTCGGCCCTTGCTGGGTATCCGGAAGGTAATTTATTAGCTCGTTTGATGTTTTTGTCGCTGATTTTGTTGTCCTTATGTAGCTGTGATAATACATACCGAGTTCGAAAACATTGTGATCTTTTGAGTTCTAACATTGGTACTTATTTTCAGCTCCTGGCGTTGAGGGCGCCAACTTGAGTGGTCAGCAAGCGATGGAGCCGTGGCGAGGACCTCCGCCGTCGGCCCTTGCTGGGTATCCGGAAGGTAATTTATTAGCTCGTTTGATGTTTTTGTCGCAGATTTTGTTGTCCTTATGTAGCTGTGATAATACATACCGAGTTCGAAAACATTGTGATCTTTTGAGTTCTAACATTGGTACTTATTTTCAGCTCCTGGCGTTGAGGGCGCCAACTTGAGTGGTCAGCAAGTGATGGAGCCGTGGCGAGGACCTCCGCCGTCGGCCCTTGCTGGGTATCCGGAAGGTAATTTATGGGTGAGACTAAATGCTTACTTCGAAATCTAAGCTGCGTTGCGGCATTGGCGGTTATGTGCGGCGTGTATGCCGCATGCTTAGCAAGCGGCGACCACTAAATTAAAAACTCAATAGCTTTGACCTGTTTTCAATGGATAACACTGCATACCAAAAATGTCCATCGCTCTCGTCATAGGATATTTAGATTTAAATAACTAACTTATCTACATCATCGTTTTGAACCAAATTAACCCTCGCCGGCCGAGGGGGGGGGGGGGCGGGTGCCGCCCCCCCATAGGGTTTTTTCGCGATAGCTCCGAACACGCTGGCGATAGAGAGCTGAAACTTGGCATACCTGACCTTTGATCCAAGCCGCATCTTTTGACACCAACCGCATTTTTGGGTCAGGTCAGGTCACTGACCTATGACGTCATAAGTGAACCTCTGCACGGTCTTCAGATGTCGCAACTTCGCAACGCCCTCACTGCCAGAGTAGATGTCACAGGTAAATGAAACTTGCAGGATCTAGTATCCATTATGAGTCCCACAACTTGTATATCTCGGATTTTTCCTAAAGGTCATATGAGGTCAGGTCATTTTCGTGACCTCACCATTATAAGTCAATGGGGAAAAATGAAAACTGCTATTCTGGCGCCGGGAACGATCTCCAACTATCTCAAGCACACAGAATCGTGATTTGATGCACTCCTTGCAAGGTTAGATACGTCACTTTTGCAATGTTGACCTTGCGTGACGTCATTGATGACGTCATCAAGGTCATATTAGTTTTTCGTCAATAACTCTTGATCAAATTGAGTTAGCGAGTCGGGAAAGCCACCAATGGACTCAGGAAGGCCTGCCGAATCGAATGATATGCGACATGACCTCTTTCGACCAACTTCGTGACCTGGGGGTGCTGACCTGACCTTGACCTGAGGTCAACACCCCAAGTTGACCTGACCCGAACAAAAAGTATATCATTCGACGCGCCTGAGCGAGGCGAACACGATGCTGCCAAAATCGGCGCTCTGCGGCCGTTTTTTGCGAAGTTATTCACCAAAAACTGAACCGTACCTTGGGGCACTTGACCTGACCTCAGAGGTCACCGGTTGACCTAGGACCTTAAAATCGGGTACCAATCTCTGCGTCTCGTAACGGCGCACACGCTCGTTTTTTCCGCGACGCGCTAGCTCCACCAGGGGCGAAACGGCGATGGGGGGGTCGTACCCGCCCCCCCCCCCCCTCGGCCGGCGCGTATGTAGAAAACCAATAGGTCCGGCGAGGGTTAATACTTTCAACTTGACCCTCGCCCGTATTGGTGTTTTTCCAGCCGCGAACGTATAAGGTATAACCCCTTGCCGTTTCGCTCCTGATCAAGCTAGAGCTTCGCGGAAAAAACGAGCGTGTTGCCCGTGACGAGAGGAAGCCGATGATACCCAATGTTAAGGTCCTAGGTCATCGGTTGAACTTCCAGGTCAGGTCAATGACCCAAAAAACGGGAAAATCAGGACCTGTTAGAACGTCGTAGTGTGGCTGCCATGGGGTTTTTCGGGGTGCTAATCACGAATATCATGCTAGTTTTGATCACAGATGATGTCTTCATTCATTTAGGCCAGGTCGGGTCAGGTCAGGTCAGGTCAACCAGTAGAGGTCCTGCCGGGTATTTGTAGTAGGTGTCAACCGCCTCTGACAGCCTCGTAACATGTTACGAAGGCACCAAAACTACTTTGTAAACGTTCATGTGGTTGCTAAATTCGAATTCAGGTCGAAAAACTGGCCTAGAAACATGTCAAACTCGAAAAAGTGAACCGAGGTCACCAAAGGTCAATGACCTGACCTGACCTTCAGGTGACCCTGACACCCACCCTGATGCATGGGGGCAAGATCATATCACATGTTTGAACGCTTGAAACCACGAAAAGACTGCAAACGCGCTGCTAATGCGAGCCGACATACGCTGAATCGCGGTTCCGGCCAAACATGGTCTCGAAAAGTAGGTCACAGGTCAAAGGTTATTTGCGTCCGGGTCATGAAATTTAAGGGTAAGTGTAAAATTGATCAACGCGAGGGTACTAAAAGTTACGTCGTGATCGGCCGCTTTTTACGCGAGTTATTCGCGAAAAACCGAGGGGAGTCCGTTCGACCCCCCCCCCCCCTTAAAGGGCGAGGGTTAACTCACAGTCCGAACTCCGAACAAGTTCGGTCTTGTTTGTGAATTTGTCGGAGCATCACCTAAATCTAGTAGAGATGATGGAGGGAAACTAGGCTTTTAAGGAGGGAAGGGAGTCGGTGACGGTCAGGGGCACTACAAGCAGAGCAGTCATAAGCTGGTGACAGGGCTGACACCATGTTTTGATAGCATGACTGAAACAGACTTTTTGGGTAGCCAGGAAATCGCATGCGAGAGCCTATTGAAATTCTTACATCGGCCTTTATATGCACCAGTCGTATACAGGTGCGGGATTTGGCATACGATTTCCAGACAATCGAAAGACTGTTTGGAGCCAACGAAGGAAGGAATGAGTGAGTACTCAGTTGAAAGCAATAATTTGGTTCAAAATGATGATGCAGATAACTTAGTTATTTAAATCTAAATATCTTATGACGAGAGCGATTGGCATTTTTGGTATGCAGTGTTATTCATTGAAAACAGGTTGGAGCGTTTAAGTCTTTAATTTAGTGGTCGCCGCTTACTAATCATGCGGCATACACGCCGCACATAACCGCCAATGCCGCAACACAGCTTAGATTTCGAAGTAAGTATTTAGTCTCACCCGTAATTTATTAGCTCGTTTGATGTTTTTGTTGCTGATTTTGTTGTCCTTATGTAGCTGTGATAATACATACCGATTGTGATCTTTTGAGTTCTAACATTGGTACTTATTTTCAGCTCCTGGCGTTGAGGACGCCAACTTGAGTGGCCAGCAAGCGATGGAGCCGTGGCGAGGACCTCCGCCGTCGGCCCTTGCTGGGTATCCGGAAGGTAATTTATTAGCTCGTTTGATGTTTTTGTCGCTGATTTTGTTGCTCCTTATGTAGCTGTGATAATACATACCGAGTTTGAAAACTTATTGATCTTTTGTGTTCTTACATTGGTACTTATTTTCAGCTCCTGGCGTTGAGGGCGCCAACTTGAGTGGCCAGCGAGCGGAGGAGCCGTGGCGGGGACCTCTGCCGCATTCACGCGAGCCAACGCCGGGCCCAGGGGGATATCCAGAAGGTAGTCTCCAGCCTGTCTGCTGCCACGGTCTCTTGGCTTTCTAATTCTTAACCTTATATGACAATGTTATGGCTTTTGAGCACACCTTCGTTTTTTGCTAATCGTAGGATGTGTTTTCAGAATCCCTCTCTGCTCCTGGTGATCAGAGATTCATAGATGGAGGAGGGGAGCTGGATTGCATCGACTTGTCCACCATTCATGGTTTCAGTAAGTTTGATGCTTTGTTTTACCACCTACTCCCATATCTCAACTACTCATCATCCGGCTTCTTTTATTTGGCTCTGTTACCTACAACATGCAACATACTACTTGCAACTATGGCATCATCGTATCTACTGCGTATATCTTGACGTCGTGACTGTGAGTTCAAGACAAATGTAATGCAACCCTTTCTCTTAAACCACAAAACGCTGAACATATGGAAACTTTTTTTGCTGCGCTTTATCATTTACCTAACTCGTTAGTCAATTACCGTGTGTTAAAGGCATGCACTTTTTTCCCTACAATGTCCTTATTATAAACCATATGCTTTAGGATAACACCCGGCATTTTGATAGCAATATCAGTTGGTAATTATTTACTATATTGTCTTTGTTTTCCTAGGTTTCCTAAAGTTTCTGGAGATGCAACTTCCTGAACAAGGTAAGCATAACTGCTCTGTGTAGTCGTTGGCACTGTGGGTGGGACACTCATTGCTACGTGGAAGTTACCTGATCATGGGTGATGGACTATCCTAGAAAAAGCTAAACCGAGTTCATCGACGTGATCTGATGTGTTCTAACATTGACACTTATTTTCAGCTCCTGGCGTTGAGGGCGCCAACTTGAGTGGCCAGCAAGCGATGGAGCCGTGGCGAGGACCTCCGCCGTCGGCCCTTGCTGGTTATCCGGAAGGTAATTTATTAGCTTGTTTGATGTTTTTGTTGCTGATTTTGTTGCTCGTTTTGTAGCTGTGAGAATACATATCGAGTTCGAAAACCTCATCTGTTGTGTTCTAACATTGACACTTATTTCCAGCTTCTGCCTCCGATGGCGCCAACTTGAGTGGCCAGCGAGCGATGGAGCCGGGGCGAGGACCTCCGCCGTCTAACCCACCGGTTAGCTCATTTGATTTTTTGTTGCTGATTTTGTTGCTCCTTATGTAGCTGTGGTGATACATACCGAGTTCGAAAACATTGTGATCTTTTCAGTTCTAACATTGGTACTTATTTTCAGCTCCTGGCGTTGAGGACGCCAACTTGAGTGGTCAGCAAGCGATGGAGCCGGGGCGAGGACCTCCGCCGTCAGCCCTTGCTGGGTATCCGGAAGGTAAGTTATTAGCTCGTTTGATGTTTTTGTCGCTGATTTTGTTGTCCTTATGTAGCTGTGATAATACATACCGAGTTCGAAAACATTGTGATCTTTTGTGTTCTAACATTGGTACTTATTTTCAGCTCCTGGCGTTGAGGGTGCCAACTTGAGTGGTCAGCAAGCGATGGAGCCGTGGCGAGGACCTCCGTCTTCGGCCCTTGCTGGGTATCCGGAAGGTAATTTATTAGCTCGTTTGACCGGCAAATAGGATGCCGTGCACAAGGCAATTGTAACCCAGCTTGCACGTGCGCACGTGCAGGGTGCCGCTTCCAGATCTCGAAAACGGCCGGGCTGATTGCACTCAAATTTGGCACAACGCTAGAGAGCGGTTAGTAGAGTGTTGTGCACGTCAGTTTATAGCACACCCACTCCGGTCTGCACGTGCAAGGCTCGTCCTCTCGTTTGGCGGTGGGCGTTTTTGCGGCGTTTACGGTTGAGTGGGCTCAAACAACCTGCGGTCCCGCGATGCGGAGCCCAGCATCGCAGATGCTGGTATTAGCTCGTTTGATGTTTTTGTTGCTCCTTATGTAGCTGTGATAATACATACCGAGTTCGAAAACTTGGTGAAGTCTTGTGTTCTAACATTGGTACTTATTTTCAGCTCCTGGCGTTGAGGGCGCCAACTTGAGTGGTCAGCAAGCGATGGAGCCGGGGCGAGGACCTCCGCCGTCGGCCGTTGCTGGGTATCCGGAAGGTAAGTTATTAGCTCGTTTGATGTTTTTGTCGCTGATTTTGTTGTCCTTATGTAGCTGTGATAATACATACCGAGTTCGAAAACATTGTGATCTTTTGAGTTCTAACATTGGTACTTATTTTCAGCTCCTGGCGTTGAGGGCGCCAACTTGAGTGGTCAGCAAGCGATGGAGCCGGGGCGAGGACCTCCGCCGTCGGCCCTTGCTGGGTATCCGGAAGGTAATTTATTAGCTCGTTGATGTTTTTGTTGTTGATGTTGCTCGTTATGTTGCTGTGATAATACAAACAGAGTTCTCCGACTTTGTCATTTGTTGTGTTCGAACATTGACACTTGTTTCCAGCTCCTACATTTTTGGAGATACTAGATACAAAGTGTTGTCGGGAGCCTCCGCGGCAACCGGTACACCGGCCCGCCCGCTCATTAATTAGCTGTCCGTTGAAGAAGTTTTAAATACATTAGCTTAAGTTGCCAGTAACATCAATTACCAATTACGAACAAACAAAACCAGAAAACAAAACATAACGTAAAGTAAATAACATACTCAAGTCGAGTACAACTCTCTCCGCCTCAACTCTCTCCGCCGGTCCATTGACACATATATTGGACCGTCCGACGCCCTCACAGAGGTATCGAACAGGGAGCTTCTTCAAGAGCTCCAGACCCAGGGCGTCGTCCGGGTCCAGCGTCTCCGCTCCCGCGACCTTAAAAATCTTGGACCAAACCCCACCATCCGCCTAACTTTCAGTGGCCGCACCCTCCCGCAGGCGATCCGGCGCGGATACCTGTCCGTGCCCGTGGACCCCTGGGTCCCGGCCCCGCGCCCCTGCACAAAGTGCTGGGCCTATGGGCACTCCAAGCGCGCCTGCCGTCGGCGTGAGCCCAAGTGTGGCCGCTGCGGCGGGCCACACGACCCCGAAAAGTGTAGCGGTCCCGATAAGTGCCCCAGCTGCGGCGGTCCTCACCCGGCGTGGGACCCCCGGTGCCCAATAGCGGAGGACGCCAGGCAGTGGCACCGCGCGGAGGTAAAGAACCGCCGCGCGGAGCACCGGGCCCAAGGCTACGGTCGGCCCAACGGAGCCACGTGGTTCCGGGAGGAGCGGCCCGACGGGCTGCTCCCGCCCCTCACCCGCCGTCGGACACCGGGTCCCCTCCCACTCGCTCCGCGCTGGCCCAGATCACCGCTGTCGCCGCCCGCCCGCCCGACCGCCGCCCGCCCGCCGCCACCGCCACCGCCCGCCCGACCGACACCGCCGCCGCCCCTCTCACCGAGGACGACTGGCCGCCCCTACCGGCCCCAAAAGCGACCCAGAAGGTGGCCTCACCACCGGCACGCTCCGTGCCACCCGCTCCCAAACGCACTGCCGAGGACCCTGAAGCCGGCGCCATGGCCTCACCGGCCGCCCCTCAGGCCTCGCCCTGCACGTACACTCACCTACTAAGTGATGTTCGCCCCCCGACGGCCCAGCGTTTGACTGGAGCGGTAGACTGCGCCGTCTCACACCCAGGCTCAGCGGCACAGCACATCCCTCTGGCCTCAACGGTAGACTGTGCCGCCTCACACCCAGGCTCAGCGGCACAGTATATCTCTCTGGCCTCACACTCGCTACAGACGCGTTTGACCGGGTCAGGGACGCGCCGCGCTGGTTGCCTTATCGCTCACAGTCACGTATCTGTGGCTAGGGGGCCTGCTGCGAATCGCTGGTCTTTCTGTGTCGACTCGAATATGATGCTTGTAAGTGGTCACGATCGCATTTAGCTCAGTGAGATTAGTTATAGCAATTTATATCGTTTATTTTCTCCCGGGTGGGGTGGGGTGGGGGGGGGGGTGTTTGGCCACACTTGCCAATGTTTGTGTGTGTCTGTAACGGAAACTGCGGCGCACAGCGACGCAAAACTTGGCACAACTTATGAATTTCGTATCGTGTCTGGAATTGTTGACACCTGGTCACATCATAAAGTCAGGTCAAAATGCTCCTCTTTTTAGCGATGGCACCCGGATACAGGTGAATAATGGCACACCGAATCACAAAATTCCACTCTTGACCCATTTTATGCCCCTGAAGTCATCTCACATCATGATACGTCTCCGTAACCCTCGCCGGCACGGGGGGAAGTTGATGCACCCGCCACCCCCCCCCCCCCACCCCCCCCCCCCACCCAAGGCTTCAAGCGAATAACTCGCGTAAAAAGCAGCCGATTGCGACAAAGCTTTCAGTACCCTCGCATTGATCAATTTCACATCTACCCTGAAAATTTCATGACCCTGACCAAAATGACCGTTGACATGTGACCTACTTTCCGAGGCCATGTTTGGCCGAAAGCGCGATTCGGCGTATGTCGGCTCGCATTAGCCGCGCGTTTGCAAGCTTTTCGTGGTTTCAAACGTTCATACATGTGATTTGGTGTTGCTCCCATGCAATAGGGTGGATGGCAAGGTCACCTGAAGGTCAGGCCAGGTCAGATCATTGATCTTTGGTGACCTCGGTTCACTTTTTCGAGTTTTACATGTTTCTATGCTGGATTTTGGAGATGAATTCGAATTTAGAAAGCATTTGAACATTTACGAAGTAGTTTTGGTGCCTTCGTAACATGTTACGAAGTTGTCAGAGGCGGTTGACAGGTACTACGAATATCCGTCACGACCCCTACTGGTTGACCTGACCTGACCTGACCTGACCTGGTCTAAATGCTTAAAGACATCATCTGTGATCAAAAGTAACACGATATTCGTGATCAGCATCCCCCCCTCAAAAAAAAAACATAGCAGCGACACTAAACCAATGACCTAGAGCCTTAAAATTGAGCATCATCGGCTTTCTCTCGTCACGGGCAACACGCTCGTTTTTTAACCCTATTAGTGGCAGGCTCCTGGCTACCCCTATTAGTGGCAGGGGGGGGGGGGGCTGTTTACGACCCCCCTTGATATCTCGAGATCTAACGGGCCGATTTTCAAAATTCAAACGGCATTCGATTTCGCTCAACGAGATCTACATTTCTAAAAAAAAATAAAATTAAAAAATGTCAATAGGGGGGTAGAGGGGGGTAAAAACGGGCAAATTGCAGATACATTTTAGACTGTTTATCACGGCCAGGTTTCTGAACCAATCTTAACGCAACTTTTGCCGATCGATAGAGAATGAACCAGAAATTCACATGGATCCTAAAAATATGCATTTTGAAAAATCATAGGCGGATACAGATCATTGAGATTGGGGGTACACAAAAAGTATAGTAAATAAGGTTTTTGTTGGTACTGTTTCTAAAAAGGGTGGCAATGGTCTTGTTATGTTACAATTTTCTTATGAGAGAACGACTAAAATTGTATTGGTCATGCATAGGCGGTGTCAGGGCACCTATGTTGGGAGGTAAAAAATAACCCCCCTTTTTGGACGCCTGGATCCGCCTATTATAGCAAAAACGTGTCAAAAGAGGATGCACAATAACTTTGTATATATGTTATCACATGATACCTTTCATTCACTGTTCGTAAAACTGGTGCAGCATCGTGATCTTCGCCCAAATGACTCGCTTCACGAATAGGACCCCCCAATTCCCAGTGCTCTGGAGCCGCCCCTGGTAAAGTTATGAACTTGAAATTTTCAGGGAATGTGCCCAATTTAGTTTTAGGAACAGTCAGAAAATTTCAGCATCGTAGCTTCAGCGGTTTCGGAGATATTCCCGAAAAACCTGAGGGGTGGATAAAAACAACCCCCCTGCCACTAATAGGGTTAAGCGACGCTGTAGCTCGATCAGGGGCCAAACGGCAAGGGGGGTCCAGCCGACCCCCCCCCCCTACACTTTAGAAGCTGGCAAACGCCTCACACATGCGAGGGTTAAAAATGGGATATAATCGGTTTCCTCTCGTGACGGGCAACACGTTTGTTTTTTCCATAAAGCTCTGGCTTGATCAGGGGCGAAACGCGAGTGGGGTTGTACCCCCCCCCCCCCTCCCCTTGTGCCGTCGAAGGACGCAAAATGGCCTGTGCCGGCGAGGGTTAACAGTTTTTGACAATGTCTTTAGATAACACATGATAGAACGGCTGAAAAACACCGATGCGTTCAGCTCAATGATAGGAATCGAATGATAGGCACAACATGACCTTTTCTATGAGCTTGACCTGAGATCATTTTTGTAAATTAAATTTCAATGTATGGTTCATTTGACGCGTCTTCACGAAAGAAACGCGATTCCGGTTAAATCAACGTAATAAAAGCATGACGCCATAGGTTATTACAGAAAAACTATCCGCAAAACGTCAAATTTTTAAAGTTTTTGCCCTCTGGAGTAAAAACCATTTACTCTAGGTCCAATCTGAGAAAATACACAAAAAAAAACTCAAAGAGCTATTCAATGCGCTCCTCTACGGCGCTGTAGCTCTAACAGTTCCAGACTTGACTTATGCGCCGCTTGTGAGAAGTTGTCAAAATGGGGAACCAGAATTCGTGATAATTTTAATGCTGGTGACCTGCAGTGACCTTAGCGATAATCTGATGGAATAATAACCCATGAAAAATCCAACAGTGGGCTATAGCTTGCTTTTTACTGCGTCTTTTTCTTTTTTTGCTTTCTTACCTTCCGAGATAACCATGCGTGGTCAAATACTTGTGTGGCCCCCTCCCTCACCCCCCACCATGGTAACGTTGGCTGAGAGGCCCACCTGTCAATTGCTCGGGATTCACCGACCACCGGCGCCACGTAACCACTCGACCGTTTTCTCCGAAGCGCCAGTGAACAACCTCGCGACCCACGTTCTCCCCTGCCTCGCAGACAAGCTGTGGCTGAGCCCTCACCTCGAACTGGTCACATGACTGACCTCGCCCGAGGCTCGCCAAGTGACCAAAGCGCAGACTGGGCGCCGCGGTGCCATGGGGTCGCCACCTATCAGAACAGCAGTTTCACTGCGATAACACTCGAAAACCACCACAGGTCCGTGGCGCTGTGGTTAGAAGGTGGGCTCGTAATTGAGA